TCCATGGTGAATGTGAATGTCTGATTATTCCTTGTTCAAGCATTTCATTTATTTGTCTGTGTACTTCTTCTTTGTGAACATATGGATATCGATAGCTTTTTGTATCTACTGGGATCTCATCAGGTATTGATCACATGCTTTACTTGATGAATGCTTTACTTACGTGAATGTTAATTGAGAACCTGGTTTATAGAATACCTTTGGAAAATCTTTTAGAAGTTTGAAAAGTTGATATTTTTCTTCAGAATTTAAATGTTCATGTCTGATCATGAAATTGAAATCAATTTTTATTGATGTTCTTTTTTGAAAAGATTTGTCAATTTTAAGTTCAATGTTGAAGATTTTATGATGATTTAATTCGAAGGGTTCCAAAAGTAATTGATCGTTGACGTCACATTGAATGTTAATGGTTACATTCCGTTATTGATCGTAACTAAAGTGGGTTGAATTTCCATTTGTTCATCACGATAATAAGGGATTATCCAAGATGTGTTATTGGGAAGTTTTATTTTAAAGAGTGTATTTTGAATCGTTTTTGGGGGAATTTCAATCTTATATTTATTTAAATTTTTCGCGCAGTAGAATGGAATTTGTAAAAATCTATTTTTTAGTCATTTATTATCCAAATCAATGTTTAACTGTAATTCAGAGAGATCTTTAATTCCTATTATGCCATCAAAATAATCATGAAAAGAATACAAAATGAATTCAATTGGTTTTGAAATGCCGAAATGTAATAAAAGCGGAATTGTCGCTTTACTTGTATTTTTTGTCTAGAACCGGTACAGGTTTGAAGTGTACTAACATAGGGTATTATTGAATCTGAAAAATATTTTTCTGCGATTGAAGGTCTTAGTAAAGATGCATGAGAACCTGTGCCTATTAATAATTTAATATTGTAGTTTGGAATTTTGAGGTAGGAAAGTTGGTTAATTTGGAAACTATTTAAGTTTGACCATGATTTTGTTGTTCCGATGCTCGTCTCCGACAATTTTCGACAATATCAATTAGATCTTCTTCAGGGGAAAATTCAGGGGGGTAACTGTTGTTTTCCGATTCAGGGTAATAATTTTCATCGTCATTTTCTCCGTAGTTTTCGCATTCCGATTCCTCATTGCCTTTTTCTAAATGAGTTATTCTTGCAAGGTGAAATTCGGTTTTCCCGAGGGTTGCAAATGATTTGGTCTACTTTGATGTTGGAAATTTTTTTGAAAAGGTTGCTGTTGATGTCTTATTTGAGAATGTCTTGTGGGAATTGTGCTTACACCAGACATGGGTTGAGGGTAGTGTTTATTTTGATTATGGTTTTGAGGTCTCTGTTGATTGGACTGTGTTTGTTTAAATTGATTTGTAAAAAGTTTAAATTGTTTTGGATTGGGGTTTTGAAAACATTTATTTAGAAAATTGTTTGGTTGAGATTAAGGCTTGAAATTTGCTTTTGTTTGATTTTGAAGAAAATTGTTTTTGAATGAACTTTGGATTGTCAAAATTTCATAATTTGTAATTATATCAATTGCCGTATCAAGGTTTTGAGGATTTTGAACTATTAAAAGGGTTCTTAATTCAGATGAGATGTTTGCCAATAGATTTTATGTCGCGGTTAATTCGTTTTGTACTTATTAAGATTGCACGCATAAGGCTTTGAGTTTTTGTATATAGTCTTGAGTTGACTCGTTCTTTTTGCTTAGGAAAATTAATTGTTGATGAAGATTAGCCCTTGTGATAGGGTCACAGAATTTTTGTCTTAAAAAATTATTAATTTTATTTCTGGCCAATTTATTAAATTTGGTCTCTTAAGAAGGAAATCTTCAGCGGAGCCAATAATTTTTCATTTTATTGCCAGCATTACAAATTCTTGTTGAGAAGAATCTGCATTCAAATATCTTGAATAAAATGTATCAATTTGATTTAAAAATTATTCTAATCTGGATGGGGTTCCATCGAATGTTTTTAGTAAAGTTGCGATCTCGATTGTTGAATTTAAATTAGTTTCAGATTTTAAATTTTCTTGCTTAATATCTAATTCACTAATACTACTGTTTTGACTAGATGAAACTCTATGTTTCGGATATGTTATATCCCCTAATGTTACTTTAGAACAATTTTTCATTCAGAAAGAATTATTAATTTTAACAATTATTTTCGTTCAATTGTTATATTTGTTTAATTCAATTCAATCAGTTTGATCTTTTTAAATGTATGCAAAATTGGAAATTACAAATCTTCAATGCTTGTATTTCTTTGTTTCTTAATTAACAGGCTGTTCAACTATAAGAAATAATAAGTGAATGCACTTACAGTTATTTCTAGTCTCTTGCCTGTATCATGCCAACACTTCGCTGAGCAGATACACTGGACGGGTCGTTGCTGCCTGTAGTGGAGACTAGCGCTGAGCCAATTTGTCCTACTGGGGCGATCGTTGTGGCGGACCAGAATACGATGCCTTGGATTTGGTTGTGGTTCTTGGTTCTTCCTTAGCTGTTGAGACAGAAGGGTGAACTGGTTTCTACTGTTCGAATCACTTGCGCGATGCACGTGATATTCCGAATTTTCGAAACACTAATTACACTCCGGAAGAAAATCCGAACGACTGCGCCAATTTTATTGATTAATTTGAAACTCGCGTTTTTAAAATCACTTTATTTCAAAATTAATTGTACATACTTTCCTTAAAGTTGCTTAAAGTAGCAACAACGCTACACATGCAAGTAAAAATAATTGAGTATCTGAACAAAGAATTCTAGTCTCTTCCCAGAATTGATTGTCCTGACTAATCACCTGTTAGGCCTAATTAATCTTAGAATGTTTTAAAGTGTTGCAATTGTGATGTATTTTAGTGTGTGATATGATGAAGCTATTGACGAACTGTGATTGTTTTTTAAATAAATAGACAATAAATGACTGAAGCCCAGGAATTGATTTTGATTTGGAATTCAAAATTAATACAATATTTTTATTATGTGGATTTGTAATGTGTTCACCGAACCTAACCGTAGGCTATCTTTGAACTTAGATTAAACGGACCTGACCATAGGCTGTCTTTAACTGAA